AGAGCCTCAGATTTACTGGTAAACTAAATGAATCAGAAAACAAAATATATATTATGATCTTCCACCACAGAAATATTACATCGTCACCTGCATAGAGGATTTCAGGTAGAGCCTGGCTAATTACTGACCTCAATAAATTTGGTATATGTTCGCTGAATTTACTAAAATAAAAATCTCACCCTCCCTTTCCAAAACATGAATGTATTTGCCACCAAATATATAGATCAAGAAAGATTAAATGAAAAATAGCATAAATAAAGATTAAAGAATAAATTTTAAAATATTGATTCCCAACTTTTGAAGCACCCACATTAAGAGACACAAATCTTTTCGCACAAAACTAATGAGTTAAGATTTTAAGCTATGTTAAAAATTATCCAGAATACCATAAACATTTAGAAATGTAATTAATACCTATCAAATTGTTCACACTTCATGAAAGCAGCTTGGTAGTGGCAGAACTGGTGCAGATTTATCAGAAAGTAGCTCCCAGAATACCTTCTCAAACAGCATGCTTATTCCTGTCTAAGGGCTTTTGTATCCCAACAGGTTCAAGTCTTTGAGAAAAAGGTCAGATCCCTACTGTGGGAAATGAAATTTCTCCCACTCATTTCAATGAGAATTAGGATTTAGCAGCTAAAGAATTTTAGGCTCCTAGTCTTTAATTACAATAATCCTTAAATACTTTTTAAAAAGAAAACATTTAAATCAAGACAGCTGTATTCTTAGTTAACAAAAGATGAATTCACGTGTCAAAGTACAAAAGCTGTACAATTTTACATGGATGCAAAAGGACATGCTGTGATTGTAACAATTTAAAGTAAATGTAAGATTTTTGGTAATCAAAGAAGCCACTATTAAATATTATTTATTATATAAATGATGGTTGATACAATTAGAACGATCTTCTGATGTGGAGAGCCCAAGAGGCAGCTTTTTTGGCTTGTGAACCTGAGCATGTATGTTTCTGCCTTTACTCAGGAGATGATCTGCCACATTAAAAAAAAATCAATTTATATACCCAGATAAATACTTCATTGTCCTCATGGCTGGCAGCTCCTACTCATTACTGTAAAAAAACCCTCTGCCTTTATTCTTCAGCACTGTAAATGTGATGAGTCTCCAGTATGCTTAAACTGCTGTGGATGAACCTTTGGATCTAAGTTTTTAAATCTACCGAAGCCAGGTCACTAGACATAAATTCATATTTCTACCAAAAAGGCCAGTTCTCTAATTCTATCTAGGGCAATCACTTTCTCCTGTCCTCCCTTCTTGTACGAAAAAATTTTACCAGACACACAATAAACTCAATATGGGAACTGAGTTGGCTAACGGATAATTCTCAGTACCAACAAAAACTAAATAAAAAGTTATGTCATTTGTGTGTTCACAACATATATCCATCCATCCATCTCCTTCCAATAGCTGTAACCCATTTGACAGATTAGCTCATGAAGAAAGCTATTGTAAACCCAATTAAATCCCATTTTCTCTAGGAGCTTTGCATTTGTATTTTTTTAAGATATTGTTTTGTAACACAAGCTTTGCTCATCTTCTCTATCATTAGTTAGAAAGTGAATATACATACCACTAATGATGCTCCGTAATAATGTGAAACAAATCGAAGTGTCTTGCTTATTATTTTCCTCATTTCTGAGTCAAACTCCTGGAAAAGTTGATATTGAATACATACATAAGAAACAAAAAGCAAAATATTACAGCTAGAACTTTTTTTGTATAAACTGCAATGCACTTAGGCTACAATATATGAGGCTTTCATCTGTCAGCATAATTATATCTTAAGACAGAATCAGTAGCAGCCTACTCTGAAAAGAAATGTCACAATTTCTCTTTGTTTCTTTTTTATACAGGGAGCCTACCAAATTCAGGCAATATGTTAGTCCAGAAAAAGTTGCGAATGTGTATTCAATTTTCAATTAATTTGTTTCATTTTGGTTTAAATTTTTGGAAGTAGAAATACTGCCTGCTGGATGAATAAGGATTTTTTCTTTTTGTGATAATACTTAACTTCCAGTAAACCTTTGGGTATATGCTCTATAGTTTCTAATACCTGCAAGATTTGAAAGGTGCATAAAAATACCTTTTCATCAATGTTTCTTTAATGCAAGATCATACAGATGGCCTTCCCCAGATGAAGTGGGCGAAAACCTGGTCCCAGTGAAGCCTGCAGGAGTCTGTCCATAGACCCCAATGGAATTAGGCTGTTATTCTGTGCTTATTACAGGAGAGTCACCAATTTTTAAAGAGGTCATGGCTCAGGAGAAAGCCTCAGTATGAAAGAGGGCACAGTACTTTTATTAATAAAGAATTAAGTGACTCAAAGAGTCAGACAAGTATCAATGCACTATGTAGTGATCCAGAGATGCACAGGCTGCCAGCACAGCAGCTAAAAATCAAATATTCTCTTCTGGTTTCTCATGATCAAGTGCTGCTTGAAAATTGAGTATGCATTTTGTTTGGATTAACATCCTGGGAGGGAATCCAGCAGTACTATGACATTTCTTTGCCCTCCCCCCTAAAAGATGCAATTACTCACTAGTCTCTACAAACTTAAGTAGTCCTTAAAAAATAATTCCAGGCTGAAATGATAGTTGACTGCTCATGTTGCCACAACTACCAAAGAATCTGGCCAGCTGACATGAGAGAGGCCCCTCATTCACCGCCGTACAGTTATAGTTGCTGTCAGCAGGGAAGGACACATGGAGCTAGATTTCTCTCATTATAAGAGTAAGTGAGCAACACGGTGTTTTCTTGCTTCCTTCCTTGGTCTGCAGCAACTTGTATCTCAAAAATCATCAGTTTGGGAGTGTTCTGTGAAGGAATGACAGTATGTCTTCCATAATGCCATTGGATGAAAAGGTGGGGTTTTTTTTTGTGGCAGAAGGCTGACTGGGCATACTTTTGTTCAAATTATTACTACTACATTACAAAGAGTTTATTATATAGTATCTTTACCAGGAATCCTTTCATTATTAAAACAATAATTACTTACATGAAAAATATCATATTTGCTTCCTATTATCACCAAGGGTACTGGAAAAGGATCAACTAACTCATAATCCTATTAAACAGATATATGACAGTTAAACAGTGTAAACCAATTGTAGAAGATTGCAACAGTTAAAAAAACTGAAAGGAGGTAAAGTTAATTCACAGAAGACAAGGTCTATTTTTTCAAAACCTTAAGTTAGATGAACAAACTTTCATGCAATATCCATATTCTACAATTTTCTCATTTTTTTCATAGATGGTCAGGAAATAATCCCTCTGAGCAGTTGGAACACTTATTGACAAAAAAGGGCTCTTGCACTATACAGTCCAGCTCCAACATTAGATGGGAAGG